AAGTCGCCGATTAGTCTTGGGTGAAGGCTTGCGCGGTGTCGTGTTCTAGGACGGCGAGATGGAGCTCCTTATAAGTGTGGCCCAGCACTGATGCGGGAAAGAAAGTCGATAAGTGCCACCTCGATAGTCTCACTTTCAGGAGGCTGTTTTCCTCATCAAGTCAGCGTGCTTATGAATCCCTGGCTCCAGGCCTTAGCTGCTTGTATATAGGTCAATATGTCCCAGAGCTAATGGCACAATTGATGGCCACATCCGTTGCCATTATGCCTCGCTGTACAAGACATTTATTTTGGGTGTATCGTCCGGAAACCAAGGGGATATATTGCATGGCTGAGAGCGAACGAAGTGTGCTGGAACTCCCCAAGATGTGCCGGAAGCAATGCTTGACCTGGCAGGTTTTATATGTTTATGACAGCAGTCTGCGACTATTGGTGTTCGCAGTGGGCTTTGGCGACAAACTCGTATGCCTTTGGATTAATGCACCCAACCCATTCATGGGTACCGACATACAGGTAAGGTCGGTTGTGTTGACACATGAGGTGATTCGCCGCTCGAGGAATCTTGAACGAGAGAAGACTGAATGTAATGGTGAGGACGAAAGATGTCACCATAGTTTGTCTTTCGTATATTCATTGCTTTCTCGAAAGCAGTGTACTCTTGGGTAAGTTGCCAGTGTTGTTTGTTCCGGTGATGGCAACTAGTACTGCCAAAGGTCATTCTGGTTGACGCTATACCGAAGATGACGTCGATTTCATTTTTTCCTTGAGGCGCCGAGTTGTCTGGGGCCTATCAAGATCAAGTAGTCTCCACTGCTGCCTGAAGACATGCAGGCACTCAACTCGACCTTCGAGTTCACGGAGAATCCGTAGACTTCGCTGGTTATCACAAAGACGTATGTTAGTTTGCATAGTGGTCAAAGGGGCTTTATCTCTTCTTCAATGTGCGAGGTGAGGATGCTTACGATGGCTTTATCCAACTCGATGTCTATAAGACACAGGCTTGATCCTGACGATCCGGTGGAACTCTGAGGGATATATAAAAACATCGAGAGCTGGACTTGTGGGGGGCTGATAGAGTCTGGTGTTTGCTAAGCTCACATATAGTGTATGTATGAGGTATCGGTGAGCTGTAGTCGTCTTGTAGTATATAGGAAGAGGCTGAATGGGGTGGGTCGTGATAATGACCACTCAATAGCGACTATAGCCTTATATCGATGGTAAGTTGAGGCATAGAAGATAGTATCGATGGTTTTGGCCCGAGATGATGATGAGATGGGATGTTTGAGATGAGGAAGAAAGAGAAGAGAGGGAGGTGAGAACGGGAATATTTATACCTTTGCAGAGCAGCCCATCCGTCACTGAATTCAGGCATCTTCACTCCATATCTTGCATCTACGTGAAGTTGTAGAGATGTAGTGACGTGTAGCAGTGACGGGCCATTCGTGACTGATCTAGCTGTCCGTGACTGCATCGATTGCAGTGAACCAAGTGCTCGGGAAGGGATGAAATGAAGCTCAAGCGGGTCAGGGAATGTCCCAAGCAACACTAAACGAGTCAGCGCCGAGTCAACGATCCACTCGGTCTCAGCCACTGCCAATAGTCACAAATTGGTGCCAATGGCGACTAAGCATCCCGTCCACTTTTAATTAAAGTGATCAGCGGTTCACAAATTCACGTTCTCGATCAGGTACAGATCCGATTCCTATCTTCCTGGGCACAATGAAGGCCCACCTCTGGATTCACGATAAAAATCTGGTGACTGCCAACTCAAATGGCATTCTCCGTCAATCTACCCCTGCCGTTGTTTAATTCTCCGAACCCTAAATCAACAATTTTCCGCCAAAATGCATCTATCATCGCTCCTCCTGGCATCCACGGCCATCCTACCAGCCTTAGGCTACAGCATCAATGACTTCTCCTGCAACAGCACCGAACACCCGAATCCCGTTGTGCTCCTACACGGGCTAGGCGCGACCTACTACGAAGACTTGAATTACCTGCAAGGTTGGCTACAAGCGCAAGGCTACTGCACCTACGCCAAAACCTACGGTGCATATGAAGGGTTCCCCTTGGTCGGCGGCCTCAAGGCCATCGCCGAATCGGCCACTGAAATCGCCGCGTATATTCGCGAGGTGAAAGAAAAGACGGGCGCCGACAAGATCGACCTTGTCGGTCACTCCGAAGGCGCTTTCCAAACCCTCTACGTCCCTAAATTCGAGGATGGCATCTCGGAGATGCTGGATAAGCTGGTGGCCATTGCACCTCCCACGAGAGGCACCAACCTGGCGGGGATCTATGACATCGCTTATGTTTTGGGAAACTTGTCGCGCGATCTGATCGGCGACATCCTGGATACTGTGGGCTGCGCCGCCTGTGATGACCTCGGCCCGGACGGGGCTGCGGTTGATCGCTTGAACGACGGCGAGCCTATCGTGCAGCCGGGGAATAATCTAACGGTCATTGCATCGCGGTCCGACGAACTGGTCACGCCAACCTCCACTTCCTTTGTGCATGAAGATGGGGTGACCAATGAATGGGTGCAAGACACTTGCCCTCTTGACCCAGTCGGCCATATCGGCGAGGCCTACGATCTAAATGTGTGGAATTTGGTCAAGAACGCCTTGGACTCTACTCCGAAGCGCGAGTTTGTCTGCTCGCTGGGATCTCCTGGCAGGTGAAGGATGGTATCTGTTGAACGTTGTATATAAGCATTTATCTTTAGATACCCAAGTTACCAGACATTAGTGTCATAATGTATAATAATACCACCGCCATCTCCTTTCACGCTTTTGTCTCATAAATATCCAAGTTCCTTCCATGCGCTCTTCTCTCGTCCACCAGTGTGGACTCAGAGCGCACGGGAGGCTGTTGGCCTTGGACAAGATTATGTCCGTCCCTAGTGACCTGTCAGTAATGAAAGAGGAATCGGAAGTTCTGGGCCACCATACCCAAGCTTCTTGTTGGGCAAAAATAGCGACAGAATTACTATAGGGGCAGAAAAGGCCAGAGCTGCAATAGTGATCGACCTGGATATGTCAGTCATGATAATGATTTCGAATCGTGTAGCTCACGTACCCCATCACATCTGAATACTGATTGGCAAATTAGTGTTGAACGGGCGAGGCGAGGCAGATTACTTACAGCTCTGTCAATCGCTGTTCGCTCGGTTGACCCCCATGCTGGCAGAGTACCTGTAATAGAGTTGTATAGCCGATCAACCGTAGATTCGCTCACACCAGACCCCAGATGTAACCGCAGTTGCTGACGCAGCTGTCCTGAGTATATTCCCCCTGCAATTGCAGAGCCTATCCCGTTGCCCAAATATGCGGCCAGTAGGACCAACGATGTGACTTGCGCTAGTTCCGCATGAGACACTGTAATCTGTGCCGCAACAATTCCGACCGTCTCGATAATACCACTACCAATGCCTTGCACCAGTTGCACAATAAACAACTCGGCCACAGAGCTTTCGTTTGTACGAAGGCGAACCATGGCCCCATATCCAACCATGCGAACGACCGCTCCGATGACGCCAATCCATTTGTAGGATCGTAGGCGGTACATCAGTAAGCCCGTTCCCATGCCCACGAGGGCTTGCATAACCCCGTTCGTGTAGTAGAGGAACTGCGCATTGCGTGGCGAAAAGTTATGCGACACCTCGGACCAAACATACAAATATGTATGGGTGGCGCCAAAACTGATGTTGTCGATGCATACCAGTATCACTGGGAGCAGAACTGAAAGGTTGCGGAAGTAGCGCACAGGCACCACAGGATGCCGGGCAATGTATTTCTCATATGGGTAAAGGCAAGCCAGGATCACGACTCCCACCGCAATCAATGCATCAACCCAGGGGGTCTTCCAACGGCCAGCAGAGGTAGCAGCCAGTGTAATAGGAATCAGAACCAGAGCGAATCCGGCACTGAGAATAAATAGGCCACCTAGGTCGATGCGAGAGAAGAAACCATATAGATTAAGCTGTTCGTTGAGTACGAGACCTGACCGCTTGGCCCGCTGCTGGAAGACAAGGAGGGTGGTGATAATGAAGCAGGCACCGAAAGGCATCAAGATGGCGAACATGCCGATTCCCCAACGCCAGCCAATGCCATCCACGACGCTCTGCACAATGAACGCGGACACCCAAGGAATGACAAGGAATGGGAGGTAGAGAATGTTATAGGCGAAACCTCTCCATCGCATAGATGATAGATCCGAGACAATCGTGGCATTCAAAAAGGATGTGCCAGCCTGCCCAATCGAATAGAGGACGTATCCGCCTGCGTAGGTGCTGAAGGTTTTGGAAGAGGCGCAAAGAATGTAAGAAACCACGTAGCATGTGACGGCGAATACATAGGCTTCACCCCGTCCGAGGACGTCGGAGATCTTGGCGATTGGGGGCTTGGAGATGGCGGAAATAATGCTCGCAGCCGTGTTCAAGGTGGCCAGTTCAGCAAGAGCGTCAAAGTCGGATGTAGCAAAGTTACGATAAGTGCCCACGGTCGAGTTGTCTAATTCACTGATACCCGAACAGCGATCAGAAGGTGCTGTCGCCGCAGAGAGATGATAACTTACTAAATGACCATCATCATCGCCAGTCTGGAAGTGATCAGCACTTATGCTAGAATAGAGATATGACATACATACCCCGCATACAACAGATACCGGCCTTTGCGCCCGCTGACGGCTTCGGCAGCTTGGATCTTTGATGCCCCAGTGGCATCTGGAAACGCGGCACTCGATTCGTGAACAGTGACATCGATTGTATCGTGCTTTTCATCCTCCGTGGTGAAGGAACTGGGGACGTTTTCCGGTCTCCTAGACGGACGGAAAATTCCGCTCCAGCCAGCCATTGTGTGGATGTGAGTACTCGAGGACAGAATTCAGTTGGGCGGGCCACATCAGGTATGTATGCTTTTCCGTGATGCAGGCGACAGACCGAGATAGCGGAATCAAATACAGTGTCGAGTGATCAAGCTCATTAGTGCGACAGACCGGACTCACTTATCTCCATCCCTGGCGTTCGCAAATGCAGGCGGTCAGCAGAAAGAGTGGGATTGCGATCAAAATGGCGTCACTCAGACCACGCACAAGCATTGATACACCTTTGACTGGCTGTGACCGATACTGGGAGGGCGGATGGATAAATGGAGGGAGGCAGACCTGGTGGACAGCCGAAGAGATCGCCGTGACGAAGACATCAGCTAACGTGACTATGGGCTTGGTGGGGGGGAGGAGGAATGCCAATCCCAATCCATGACCCCAGCGGGTGCGATTTGCCTGCCTTGGCCAGCAAGGGCGCAGGAGAGCCCCCGACTGTGCCGATCCGGGTGAAGATCGACGACTATAGGCCCAAATTGCCCCAAACCTGGTCGCGAAAACGGGCAAACATTTAGTCGGATTCAGCACCGACAACGGCAGTGGGTGAGGAATGTGACCATCAGTGGGCACTTATTGATAAGAAGCTGCATTAGTCACAATGGATCCTGCGGGGGATGGCAATGATCCTCCCAAACTGGACAAGCCCGGCTGCCACGCACGTCCATTTGGGTCGATCGGCGAAGAGGCAGCTGTCAGGCCAATACTGACTTGCTCGCGATTATCGGAGTATTTAATTGTGAGTCAGTGTGAGTACCATCTCTCCATTTGGTGGCAAGGCAGATGGGGAGGAGCCTGAATGTTGAGAACTTGAGGAAGGGCTGCGGAGAACCGAGGCTGGAACTTTTCCCGTTTCGGACACTGAGTTGGGGTTGGGGAAACTGTTCCCCGCACGTGATGCATGCGGGACGCGTCTCAACATTTGGCTCAAAAGGAGTATGGGGGATGTTGCTGCAGCTGCATTATTTACTCCGTACTTGTCTCCTGCTTCGTCCCTTGACAACACCAAAGTATACGCCGGGCAGATCAGGCGGAGATCTGCTTAGAAACTTTGATTCTAGCTTATTCGAGTTTGTGTCATGTTCGGCGAGCAGGACATGATCGCATAACCTTGTCTCTTCTGGAATGATTGACGCCATCGCTAGGACTATAGAATATCTGACGCAAGAGGGGAAACGCTAGGAAGGAAACTGGCTCCACTGCTGGTGAGCTTCACGTTCGAGCTTGAATTTTAGCTTCAGCATACTCTCCGCTGTTCATCCCGAAGGAAGCAGGCGTCCCAAACCCACATTGGCATTTGTCATGACCAGGCCACATAATCCGCCAGTTGCCAGCGAGCAAATGAGTAAACAGGAAGAACTACAGTGGATATATATCTTGGGATATGGCACCCCTTGCACTGGCTTCCTTGGCTGGGAGCGTGTAGCGGAAGATGGCACCCATCGTAGTCCCTCGCCGATGGACGAGAGGACAGGATAATTATGGCCTTTCTGCCCACTATTTACTCTGATACACGAATGGCATCGATGAGTTGCTCGACTCTGCCAGTCTGTTCTGCACATAACGGATGCCGCGGAATCTGTATGTTTCCTCCGTCGAAGAGCCCAGATGGGGATGAAACAACCATTTTCCAACAAGGACAAATGTCTCCCCAGAGTTGAAATAACGTTATCCCATTTATGCGAACGGTAGTACAAATTACTTTATCCGTTGTTGCTGTGTCAATCAGGCAACTCGGCCAAAGTCAAGTTTCTGGATACCTGCGGGAGCGTGGTTTAGCGTCAGAGCCAGATAGACCAACATCAAATTTATCGACTATCCGGAGACATTTGATCGCTCTATAAGGGGGTGATCTCTTGCTGAGATGACAGACCCACTGTTCCCAGATGGTTATAACCACATCTATCATGGATGCTGACCTTGCATTGGGTAGGAGGAGTGTGATAAGGGCATCAGCCAATAACCTCCGGGTTGATCCATGCTAGTCTCCGAAGAGTTTGCTACTAGGCAATTAGAGGAAGGCCGAACGCAGCCTAAGAAAATGCAAGGGATCACAGGCCACCAGCGCTGATCCGCCATCTGGCCTCTGTTTGGTTTTTCCGACCGCGATCTTCCCTCTCAATCTCGGCATGCGCGGCTTATCCTGGTGAGTTGAGCCCCGTGGCTATCCAACCCCCACTTCGGGTTCATTGCAAATCTCTTACTCTTAATTCGTCGTCGTGTCTATGCAGATACTGCAGGCCTTCATATTCAGCTCCAGCTGAATGACCTGTCAGCCCGCCCGGTATCTTGGGTCAAGCATGGCTTAATCTACATTTAACTCGTGGGGCACCCTTGACTATCCCCTCGATGCGTACACGGTGAAGTGGATGCCGTGCATTGTCTAGTCTGAGAACACATGGATCCCTTAAAAGCCTCTGAATACGGGTCGTTTCAGGCACATGTACATCCTGCAAAACATGGAGCCTGGCGAAAGGTACTCCGTGGCATAGGAATCGCTGTAGTAACTCTGGCAAGTCTTGCGTGGTGGACATCGCGTCTCTCTACTCGAGCACATACTGAGATAAATGTCCACTCGGAGTTTAGCTGGGAACAGGTAAGAGACTTCGCATTTGTCGCCAGAAGCATCTGACCGGTAAAGATAACTCCTTCGCAATCACTTGTGTACCATGACTGCTTCGATGGGTTTCAATGCGCCCGTCTCGAAGTGCCCATGGACTACCACCGATCTGATGGTCAAGGACGGCGCTTCGCGATCGCCATCACTCGTCTTCCAGCCAAGGTTCCGGTGACAGATGCCCGATACGGCGGCGCAGTTTTGACGAACCCAGGTATGCTTGGGAATGTCTATGCTATCGTCCTGACTAATAGCGTTTCAGGTGGTCCAGGTGGCTCAGGCGTCGCCCAGGTGCTTGTCAGCGGCAAATCCCTGCAAAAGACCGTAGACTCGGAGAACGACCCAAGTATCGTCGATTCAGAAAGCGCTTCGCGGGACAAGTATTTTGACATCATTGGATTCGATCCCCGCGGGGTCAACAACACGACTCCAGGGTTCAGCTGCTTTCCTCATCTGTTCGCGCAGCGAAACTGGGAACTCCAAGTGGCAGCCGAAGGCACACTAGGTAGCGCACAGGATGCATTCTGGCATAGCTGGGCTCGCGCGACTGCCCTCAACACTGGATGCTCTGCCAACTTGTCCACTCCTCCGAAGGATGGAGAGGAGGCGTTGGGCGAACACCTCAACACGCCCCCTGTGGCTAGAGATATGCTTGAGATCGTTGAGCGACACGCCGAATGGCGTGCAGAGCAAGGCCTGCTGGAGCAGCGCCAACAAGATCATATTCATGGCTATGATCCAGGACAGAGTATAGTAGCGCGAACGCGATGGCAGCGGGGACAGGAGAAGCTCCTTTACTGGGGTCGGTCGTACGGAACCATTCTAGGCTCCACGTTTGCAACTATGTTTCCCGATCATATTCATCGAGTTGTGCTTGATGCTGTGGTAGATGCCGACAAGTACTATTTCGGGGAGGGACCCAATGCTGTTGAGGACGCTGACGCCATTTTCGATCAATTTACGCGATACTGCAATGCGGCTGGAGCAGACCTCTGCCCTTTCTATGCTCAAGGCGGACCGGCCGCCATCAAGGAAACATATCTGGCACTAGAAGATGCTCTCTACAACCGCTCATTACCAGTACCCGCCTCCGCGACACGAGGACCGGAAGTCGTGACGTGGAGTGATCTCAAGGTCATCCTGCGAATTGCTCTGTATCAGCCACTTTACGGATTTCCTCAGCTGGCAGAGATAGCGACCGAGCTATCGCAGCAAAGTGGCGCCGCCCTTGCCGACTTTAAAGTAGGGGGCCGCTCCCCGTCATGCCCTTCCGATCAATGTCTTCAAGCTGGACCATGGTCTGCTGAATGCCAAGTGTCGGGTCACAATGAAGCGTATTCGAGCACAGCCATTCTCTGTGCCGATGCGGAGTATTTGCAGGATGCTGACGAAGATGAGTTCCGGCGCTCCTGGGCGTCGTTGCAGGAAGATAGTGCCATGCTTGGGGATTACTGGGCCAGTCTTTTGATGAGCTGCGTAGGATGGAAGGTAAAGCCGAAGTGGAAGCTTACAGGTAGTAGTATCTTTGTAATCTGGACCGTTCATTGCTGAGCTTTATAGGGCCATTCGCAGCCAACACCTCCCACCCACTGCTCTTTGTCAGCAATACGCTCGACCCAGTGACTCCTTTGCGGAGGTAACTTCCCTGTTCCCTGGGAAACTTGGCATCGAGGCTAATCGGTTGTAGTGCGCGCAAGATGTCCGAGAACTTTCCTGGCTCGGTGCTTCTACAGCAGGATTCCGAAGGCGTAAGTGACCTCACATGTCGAAGGTGATGAACGATCTGACTCTTCTAGCACTCAACGTTGGCGTCGCCATCCGTATGTGTTCACAAGAAGATCCGTCAGTATTTTCAGACAGGCGAGCTTCCGCCTCCTGGTGTAGTATGCAAAGCAGACGTGAAGCCCATACTGGGAGCGTCGCCTTCGACACAGAAGGGGATGAGTGTTGAGGACCGGCAGCTATATGAAGCATTATTGGAGGAAACGCGAAGAATGGCAATACCACGGCTACCGCTGTAGAGTTGGGATGTCTGGATCAATGTGTTTGCTCAATGTTTCTGCTTCTCTCGCAAAACTCATGACTCAGTCTATCCAACACAGGTTTCGAGTGTATATAGCAGTAGAACATCTCGTAGCAGGAGAATGAATAGATATTTCCACGCGCTATATGACCGATCACATACAATAAGTTCCATGTCTTTCCAACTCCAGGTCCGGAATAGTCATGAACCAAACTTGGTCGAGCATCCATAGCGATGCGGTGCAACCTCGGTTCAGATCCGTCGGGTAACCTTGATTACTGGCTTTGGTTCAACCCCGCGCTGGTCAGATAAGCATATCTTCTCCTCTTCTCTCCCCTCATCCCTTCTTCTCTTTTCATCATCAGACCCCTGCATTAATTGCCATCCCCCCACCATCAAGTTGTTTCATTTCAATCGCATTACTACATCAATATGGCCCCTCCCACCGCCACGGAAACCACCATCTTCTCTCCCGTTCCCACCCAAACCCATTCCACCCAAGAATCGGCTGCCGAAGCCGCTAAAGTGAAGAACACCCCCCAGAAATTCGCACAACCACCAGTCTTCGAAGACAAGTACAAGGAGCGCGAGTATCTCAAAGGTCGACTGGCAGCCGCATTCCGCATTTTCGGCAAGAATGGCTACGATGAAGGTATGCCATCATCACTCATCCCTACCACTTACATCCGAATAACCTCGGCTCGTTGGCATTGGCAATTCATACTAACTTTTGTTCCAGGCGTGGCAGGACACATTACACTCCGTGATCCCGTCGACCCAACCACCTTCTGGGTGAACCCCTTTGGCCTAGCATTTTCGCAGATCAAGGCATCCGACTTGATCCATGTGAGCCACGCCGGGGAAATCATTGGCGGTGGACCTGTCCGGCTGCTCAATGCTGCTGCTTTTATGATTCACTCGGCCATTCATGCTGCTCGGCCGGACGTGCTCTGCGCTGCGCACAGCCACAGCATTCACGGACGGGCTTTTTGTACTCTCGGACGGCCGCTGGATATCATCACGCAGGATGCGTGTGCATTCTACAATGTCAGTGATACCCTCTAGCCACAGAACCTTCAACTAACCAGAGCAGGATATCGTCCTGTACAACCAATTCAACGGCATCGTGCTGGCCGAAGAAGAGGGCAAGAGCATTGCTCAAGCCCTAGGCACCAAGAAAGCCGCACTGCTGCAGAACCACGGGCTTCTAACAGTAGGACAATCCATCGAGGAGACGGTGTTCTGGTTCGTCAGTCTAGAGAAGTGCTGCTACGTGCAGCTCATGGCCGACGCCGCAGCCGCAGGCCGGGGCGGACAGACCGTCAAGGTAGACGAAGCGGATGCAGCATTCACATACAAGTCCGTCGGCACACCAAAGGCGGGATATTTCAGCGCGAAGCCAATGTTCGATTTGATCCACGAGGAAACCGGAGGAAACTATCTGAACTAGCAGCTACACCTCATACCACAATACCATACTCCCACAAATGCCATACTACTCCCTCCCCATCCTCTCCCACACCTCCCTAACCTCCCTCCCATTAACAGCCGTAAGCGGCTCCCCGACGACCTCCCCATCATCCCCAATCACCTTCAAAATATTCTCCATGGCCAACCTCTCAAACCCAATCCTAGTCTCCACCGCCCCGCCCCCAACATGCGTCGTAAGAGTAACATTCTCCATACTCCTCAACCTAGCATCAACAACGGGCTCAAACTCGTGAACATCCAACGCCGCAGCAGCCACCTTCCCCGACCTCAACCCCTCCACCAAATCCTCCTCAACCACCACACCCCCCCTCGCCACATTAACAATCCTCACCCCCTCCTTCATCCACCCAATCTTCTCCCCATCAATCAACCCCCTCGTCTCCTCATTCAACGGACAATGCACCGACACACAATCCGCCTTCTCCAAAACCCCCCTCACCCCACCCCCCCATCTGACCCCCAACTCCCTCTCCCTCCTCTCATCCACCCTCACCGCATCATAATAAACCACCTCCATCCCCAACGCCCCCCTCACCTTCCTCACCACCTCACTCCCTATCCTCCCCAGCCCAATAAGCCCCAACACCTTCCCCCTCGGATTCACCGACACGTCCGCCAAATTCTTATGACAGTCCATGAACTTCTCTTCATCCCCGGACCTCGCGGCAATCTGCGACGCAGTAAAGTTCCGGAATACGCTCAGGATCATGTACAGCGTTGTGTCGGCGACGGCTTCGTCGGACGCGCCCGCCCCGTTCGTGTAGTAGATCCCGCGCGCCGTGAGCGATGGGATGTGAACGTCGTTGTAGCCTGCGCCGGCGGAGGCAAAGATCTTTACGCTCGGTGGGAGGAGAGAGATTAGTTCGGTGTCCCAGGGGGACATGGTTTTGCCGGAGGAGAAGTGCGGGCGGAAGAGGGCGGTGATGGGGCCGTATCTGGATTTCTAATTAGTGTATGTCTTGTGGGAAGTAAGAAAGGGAGGAGGTGGGGGGAAATGGGTATATACTTGTCAGACTTCAAAGCCTCGATAAAAGCTTCTCGCGTCGGGGAGGTATCCCGGATGATGGTGAAGCGGGTGGAGAGGGGCCCGTTGTAGAGGTCGTGGTTGTAGGCGATGGGGTCGCCGAGGTGGAGGATTATTGGTTTGGTCATGGTGGAATTAGTTGGGGTGGTGTTATATGTTGAAGATATGATGTACGTATTGGTAGAGGAAACTGAAAGATGAGATTTGGGAATTGTAACAGTATGTATAGTAGTTGTGAAGATATAGATAGTCCTGCGGATAATTCTCCGATTCGACCTCGGACTTGTTTCCTAGATGATGATCATCAGGGTTGAGGAGGGTGTTTTTTACACCGACTTGTTTCTTGTTTCTTGTTTCTTTTAGTGGGGAGTGGAGAGGTCCAGTACATCTGTTTTCATGTGCAGGTTTAAGTCTGTCCCAGCTAGATGGGATAGGTTCTATGCTCTTTTCTTCTACTCTCCTTATACTTTCGTATAAAAGGTGTCAATATCCCAGGCCTCGTTATTACTAACACATTGATACTACTAATGCCCTATGAATTGGATTGTAGGCTGCATATTATGCTGCTTGATAGCACTCTGCTCACAGTCTCGCCGTGTACTCGAATGCAGTGTGATAGGGCTCGCCCGTCTGCTATTTGGTGGGACAGCTTTTCGATGCAGGAGCTTTTTTTAGTTAGCTTGGAAGAAAAAGATGGCATATGAAGGTCAAGCAGTATCACGTACTAGGCTGCTAGCTTTATAACAGCCAGCGCCATTAGAGGCGTTCTTCTTCTCAGGGGTGAACTCGAGCTTTCGCCGACTAATGGGACATATATTGCAATGAAAGAGTCATGTAACCAACAAACTACTCCCAACGCCTTTCAATGAGACTCTGGATTTTCCGGTTCTGTTACTTACCACTGAGACCTTCCTGAAGTGAAGGGAACACCATGCTTCTGATGCTAAGGAACTCAATTGACATGCAAGACGTTCAATACCATTGCAGCTAGTTCTGCCGATGATTCAAGACAGCGATGGTTGAAGGGAACCAACTCGACCAGGTCCTCTGGTCTCTGCAAAGGGCCATCAGTGGCCGTTTCATTACTTGCAATGTAGATACCGATGATAATAGCTCGGTATCAGCCGGCAAGATTCCCTCTGCAGCTCCATGGTAGACTGATGTCGTGGTTCCCACTGTGTGAGATAGAAGACAAGCATGGGGCTCATGTGTATCAGTCCAGCAGCTCGACCGAGATACCATCATCGCAGTGATCAGTCAATCCACACAGACTGTAGACAGAAGTTTCAATGACAATAGGTAATCAGAGTAAAGTACAAATTCCATGAGCGGCAGGGCCATATTACTAGGTAGGGCGAGGTTATGATTCGACGAGCATTCTCGAGGACAGCACATTACTCGTTCATCGGCATCGTAATCATAAAGCAGATGAATATTAGGGAATGAAGAAGCAAGTAACCAGCAGAGCGATGGAATAACCTGGATGAACCAAAAGTGCGACCGCTGCTATGGCTGCTGGTGTTCAGCAACAGGGGGACCCGAAGCGGGAAGACCAGAAATGCAAAAAAAAAAAAAGCAAAAACAAAAAGAATGACCTACGCAGGATTCGAACCTGCAATCTCTTGATCCGTAGTCAAGCGCCTTACCATTGGGCCAGCAGGCCTTGTTGTTATAATTCTCTGTACAAGATGATTATATAGCCCTTTGTGATCCTGCAACTGCGTTATGTTCGTGTTCATGATCCTTGTGAAACACAACAATATTCATCGGTCGGAACTGCAACTATCGGTTCATTTGTCTGCTACTGCCTATTCTCGGCTTCATACAGGCTACCTGCATCATTTGTGAGCAATCACTACCCCATAAACCCATCCCACCACGGTAGTCCTCAGCACAAGTGATCAACATCAAGCAATATATACCCCGTGAAGCCAACCGCAACACCCACCATCACCACCCTACACTACTACCAGTCAGACAGTGGCAACCAACCTGCAACACAAAATTAGGTAGATACCGGCCCCTCTCCCCTAGCCGAACTCCACCTGAAGTACCCACGAAGTACCTCTGCCGTACCGACATAGCCACTTAGACCAGACCAGACCAGTCAAGGCAACAGTGCAGTCCAGCTCAGCTCAACTTCAGCATTCCATGGGCGGTTGGGTTGCGGGGGTGCCAAGGATCCGGGGGATGATCATGCAACAACAACAACTAACCTTTTCCCAGCCCATTCCCACCACTTCTGACTGGTCAACGTCGGGCGGGGTAAGACGACTCTGAAGTCTACTTGCAGCGCCAGAAACAAAGCCACCGCTGCTTTTCCCATCCAATGATCGGGTGACTCAACCCCCCCTCCCTCCATGACTGGAACGGTGTTGTCTACTACTATCCTCACGGATGTCCATCCCTAGTTTTGAAGTTTACTAGTTAGTTACTTACTTATTAACCGGATGGGTCGGAGGATGGCGACGAAAGGGAAACTTTAATAAATTGATGGGAATCTGGGGTAAACTTGTTGTGGCCCACTTTTGCCATGACGGGCTATGGGTACTACTACGTACTTAGGTACCCATGGAGGTGAAGAGTGGGTGCTTAAGCTCTTGTGGGGGGTGTAGTAGTATATGGATATACTAGATGTTAAACGTTGATCAGGGCTAGCTAGATGAATACTGCGATGAGAGTCAACTTCACAAAGTAGGGGATGGTTAGATGAATGCGTGATCAGACCACCACCACCGCACCCAGAATGTACTTCAGAGGTAGTACTGTGGTATGAGGACAGCCGCTGACGCAGCGTGGTGTGATCCAATGGGTTTGATGTAGATTACTCTTACTTACTGTACTGTGCTGGCTAAGTACTACCTAACTATCCCTGTCGCGTGTGCTGCATTATTGTGCAGCTGGTATTAATACACGGCAGACAGGCAGCCAGAGACACTCCAGTGAAAGAGAGAAGAGAAAGGATGATCACACGAGTGCCACCACCCCCCTGGCCAACAGGTAATAAACTAATAAAAAAGACACAACAGGGATTAGAAATGTCTGCCCCTCACTAACGATGATGCATCAAGTCATTTTAATTGTTTCTTGTATTTATGGTCATTCCTGGGTGTGTTTGTAATTGTGTCTTTGTTAAATACATGATGAATATTGGTTCCAATGCAACCCAAAACGCGTAAAAACTCCGTCATGTCACGATTCCATTCCCTCTCCTTGTTGCATATTCCATCCCGTGCCGTCCAAAGTACCTGACCCTAGAGGGTAACCCAAATAAAATAGAAGAAAAGAAAATGATGTGAAATGAATGGTCGGTAATAATGAGGATGCAGATCGCTGTCTCGGACAAGTGCCCTCCTCTATTCCAGTTTCGTGGCTTTCAAAGCACCAATAGCGGTAACCAGACACGCTCGCTCACTCGCTCGCGGAGGAGCTGGATTTATTTCAAGCGACGCATGTAGCGTAGCGTCAGATAGACCGCGCCCATCGTCGTGTAAGCGGCACCCCCTGCAGCAATCCAGACCGGCTTGTGGACGCTAAACGAGGTCGAGATGAGCTGTGCCCTCCTCCTGCGCTTCTCTAAATGGGCTATTAGGATGCCTTTCTTCTTACCATACTCTTTGTGGCTATGATGGATAACCTACCTGTAGTCAAGAATCTGTTTCTCAAAGTGGCCAGCTGCTGTCTGGAGTATGCACCGACAGACGAGCCCATAGACGAGAGACCTTGGATAGCAGGGGTCGACATCTTGAATATTCGCTATTCTTGTAGTAGTTTCTTGAAAATGGTAGAGTAGTTTACAGCAGAGACAATGAGAGAACGAGATTTCTTGATCCTGATATTGATGAGGACAACAGGTGAGTTGGAAGGTATCACTCTCTATTGTCTGGCCGGGTGACACAAGGTTTATATGCTCCTCCTCGTAACCCGGATGCGGGGTAGTCACCAGATGAGAAGCTGCAATACAGTAACAGCTGGCTCGACCTCTCGTCATCCCTGTCTTTGTTGATCCGTGTCTCGTAGGTTACATTCTGGAGGGTGGTGATTGGAGGTCATCGTTGGGCCTGTCCGGTGTTGGCGCTCTCTCGCCCCTGGAACGGGCGTGAGCTATCACCAAGTACGGCATGCAATACCGACCAAGCGATCGAGTACATCACAGGTACATCTGCCGCTGACTGGGCGCTTTTGGATGTGATAGGATGTTCTTCATATGGGCTGGGATGAGGGTGGCGTTGTCAGTAATTAGGGCCTCGCTGCAGCCCAAGGCAGAAGTACCGTGAAGGACTGTGTTGTAGCTCTACAGCTCAGTCTATGCCAAGTAGGGACTTAGATGATTGCTGACTTGCACTGAGGAAGGAAACTATAATCGTCCGATTGAGTTCAATATATGACACCGAGATGGGGATCTGTAGACACCGGTAGATTGACTTGCCGGTTTCATGAGAGGCGTTGAGTACCATGAACAGAGTCAGGCCGTAAGTTTGACCATGCCATGGCAGCAATGCTTGCATCTTGCCTACGGTAGGGTGTGTTTCCCCGCGATAAATGCAGACATATTGACGAGCACCGCGCGTGCAGATGGCCTGATGCGAGAAGCTTCCAGCGTAGATTCTTTCCTCGTATGTAGATGTATAAAGTACATGACGATCACTTGGGATGGGACCATGTATGGTAACTGCTCCGGTGGAATTAACAGCATGCGAGTAGTGAATTTACTTCATTCCAGCTCCTTCCCCGCAACTGCAAAGTCATTGCACGCTGACGTCTTCACTTAGGCAAGGATGGGATGAAAATCTCATGTGTAATTTATGCCGCCACTCAACTGCATGTTGCTTAGTAGAGAGCTCTCAGCCAGGTCTCCTTGGATTCATTGGGAGAACGGCTGTAATCTGCTCCCACAGAAAAGGCTCATCCATGTGTCGATAGTCCAAAGTACCGCAAATTAGGGCCCCTTGAAACTTGCGACTCGACAAGAGTGTATGTTTCTGGTAATGTTAGTAGGCAACTTTGACTTGTCACAGATGTTATTTTCATAGTCCTTTCCTCTCACGCATTTTCAGTGGATCCTATCCATCTGTAATACACATGATGTATGCGACAGAAGCGTATGGAAGTATCAAAGCGTAAAGGGAGACTGAACCACACTTTGCTAAGAGATACAGTGAGCAAACCTGCATAACTGGCAACGACGAGACAGGTCTTGAAAGAGAGTCTGAACAGTCTCATACTGATAGTTAGTAAAGCTTTGCGCTCGAATACCAGTAACAGGACTCAGAACCCTGGATTCGGTCCAGATGCAGTGACCTTTCCAACCTCTGCCATCGCTCCTCAGTTGAAAAGAGTCTTTCTCAGTATGCCATAATTATTCCTGCATTGAGTACAGCTTTGTCTGTGAAAAGGACAAGCCAACGCCTAACAGGCAACTTCAATGCTTGATGTCCGAATGTCAAATCCATCATACACCAGTGCCGCGATAAGATAGCATTCACGTGACCACAATCCGTTTCAAACAAAGTTTGGCCGACCGTCAATCCTCACTTCTCGCACACCATGGCTGCCCCGCCAAATGTGAGAACTTACGCCAAAATAACAGGCACCCCCGACTATGATGATCCGACCTTCTGGGATACGAAGTTTGCCACTGGTCGGGATGTCGGGGAGTGGCTGAATTCGGGAGAAATGCTCATCGATGCGGTAGTATCTCACCTGGAGAGCCGCTCGGCAACGAACCCAAGAGTGCTCCATCTGGGGCCAGGCATCTCGAAGCTGGGAGTTAAACTTTGCGATGAATTCATTAAGCGCAACTGGGCCGGAAATGGCATCGTGGTGCGTGCTTGACGTGATGGCGCATTGAGCCATTGGAACATTACTTACTCATCTTTGCGACAGAACGTGGACTTTTCCGCCGAAGCCGTTCGCCTTGGGCAAGAGACCGAGAGCAAAAGGAATCCATCACATGCGATGGGCTGGGTGCAAGCTAACTTGCGGTCTTGGGCTGATGTCTCTAGATTAGCTCCTTCCTCGCCCTTCGACGTCATTCTCGACAAAAGCACAAGCGATGCGATTGCAACATCTACGCCCGTTACCTTCCCTTTACCCTCCGACGCATCGAGTACATGCCCGACGGTACAAGAGATTGTGGATAAACATGGAGCGATAGAGTTGTCTCCTGTGGAGCTATTGGGTCTACACCTCGCACCCCTCGTGCAGAAAGGGGCCCTCTGGGTCACTCTATCCTACTCGACCATGCGCTTCGATAATTTGTCTCATATGGCCCAACACTGGACTGTCGTTTCCCGGACGCCTTTCAAAGCACCCCAAGGAGAGACTTCATCATTTGCTTACGCGCCTGAGGTTTTCCACTGGATGTATATCCTCCAACGGAAGTGAGATCCACCCCACTCCATATGATTTGCGACTATAAATAGCCCGGATTACTGGATAGTGGCACAATAGCCATCCGACAATGGAATCGGTTACCTACCACACGGAGCCATCAATAACGCCAGTGCGTGACGGATGATACTGGACGCGAAGGAGTCCTGGTATTCACAGTAAGTCAGGTGTTCACCGCTGAGCTCCTTTATGTCACCTTTAGGCGATTCGTAGTAGACAAGATTCCGTAAAAGCCGAATCTCGGGGCTTTTTTGGACAACAGTTGCCCAATTAATAGTAGCACTTTGCATAGTTCTCGAGCAACCCATGATGACGGCAACCTATAGTATGTATTGCGCCTAACTTATGGACTCCTAGAAAATAGTATGGCTTGAGCCTAAGTAGATTTGAAGAATACAACGAGGCTTAATAAACAAGGGATGTGGCAGGGTAATTTTGACTTGGTAAAGACTATTGCGACTGGCAAATGCTATCATGTGAGTCGGGACAAACGTAGCAAACAATTTCGCGTTCAATTGCCCAAAGCCATACATTTGATCATAGTCGAAAGTTGCTGTTCCAAACCTCAATTTGCTCGAGCCAACTCTTCCTTCTCAGCAGGATCAAGCAGTCCCAGAGCTTCCCTTCTAGTCGGAGCCTTGGGATCAAAGAATGGCTTCTCCGCAAGCGCCGTGACTCTGGTACCGTGTCTAGGCTCGGAACCTTCATAGTCCCAGCTGGCATTGTGGATGGTAATACTATCATATGTCAGAACCTCTCGAGAACTCATAAGATGCAGAGTTACTGACCGGTTGTCCCATAGTGCGCTTGTCCCAGGGCTCCATTTGAAGCGAACCTGGATGTCAATGTTCTTCTCATATACATCGCACAAATACCCCAAGATAACATCACTTTCCGCCTTGTCGAGACCAACAATGCGGTCGGTCATGGCTCGGTTCACCCATAGCGCTTTCCAACCCGTGGCAGGGTGAACGCGGACAAGGGGATGCTCACGCTCGACGTATTTCGGGCCTTCTTCTGGATGGGCGCGATCAAGATACGGGTGGCTGGATCGGTAGATGGCTGTTTTACCATCGATCATCTTACGAAACGCAGGCGACAGCTTCTCATAGGCCGCGTAACCACTCGCCCAGAGTGTGTCTCCGCCGATGCTTGGAATGGTGTCATTATGCAAATGTGTTACACCTGCAGGCTGACGTTCATGTACGAGATCAGTGTGCCAACGTGAGGCTCCTCCAGGGCGACGGAAGTTAGCAGGAGTCTCCGTTGCCTGCAGAGCTGGCCAGATGACTGTCACTCCGGCGACGCCAGGTACTTGGGGAACTTGTGGCTGGATAAAGACGAGACTGAGTCAGTCCACTAGATACTAACATGGAGAGGCATAATGGCTTACATGGACCTCGATCTCGCCAAACCATTCGCCAAGCTCTTTCTGCTGCTGGGGAGAGATATCCTGATCCCTGAAGAAGACCACGCTGCGTTCAGCGATCAACAAGCCCAGCTCATCCTTCTGCTGGTCCGTCAGGTCTTTCAACTGCAGTCCCACGATCTCCGTGCCAATGTGTCGGGTCAAATGAATGACCTCTTTTGCTGCAGACAAGAGTGCCTTCTTTTCTGGGTCCGCGCGGGTGCCTGGGTCCACATGGGCCCGGTCATGATCGCGGATCTTGTAGACGTCGTCTAGGTACAAAGGACGAGACGGTCTGTAGGGATATCCCTCAGAGAGGTCTATTCCCGCCTTCTCGAGGCGCTTTCGTGATGCTGGTGGAAGCGGAAGCGTTTGCTTCAGTGGTTCCGCAACATCGACTATTCTGGGGTCAATAGGAGCAGGAGCCATGATGATCCAATTGAACTATGAACTCTGATTATAATGTCTTGACTTATCCGGTTCTACAGCGCTCTAGGGTGATATTTCTATGTAGAGCTTATTGCATACCAAGATTATTTCCCCTCACCATCATTGTCGTGGTACGGGGTCCGATCACATCATCACCACCCATCATTGCGCCTTCTGCATCCCACCACCAAGGAATTGGCAGATTGAACGGCTGTCGCGGCATCTCTCGCCTGTACCCCTCTTTTCTGTTGACTATTCTCTGGTCGATGACTTCTTATCTCCGCTTATCCCAGTGGACAAGCGTGGCCATCCATTAACGGGGTCCCCGGAGAGCATCATCCAGGGATTCGATGGCCTCATCCCCTCTTCATAATTATTGATAAGCAACAGACGTACCACACGCTGCTGCAGGTTCCTCCTGGCTTGGAACTAGGTTATCGCTAGTAGCTCGGTTCGAGCTGTCTCAGATATGACAGGCTGTGGCCAGTCCTCAACTGGTAGCGTTGCTATTACACCACACTTGACTAACATAACGATATCGTCTGGCTCCATATTCCTTCGCAATTCATTAGGAACATATCAGACGGCTCGATCTCACTAGATGTCTCTTATGGCATACCATTGTGTTGTGAGTGGGACAGTATAACCAACAACCACCATGACTCGTGAAATCCAGCAAGTGGCCGTGATCGGTGCTGGCATTAGCGGTGTTGTCTCCGCGGCCCACCTTCTTGCGCACGGGATCGACGTCACTGTCTTTGAACGGAATCATGCAGCAGGTGGCGTTTGGTAATCCTTCCTCGTTCAGTGGTGTGTCGAGCATCCGGGAACTGATGACTCCATCAGGCTTCACGATGAAAGAAAACCACTGGAACCGAATTACCCCGCCATGAAGCCATCTATCTCGGAGAGGCATCGAGACGAGGACCGCAGACACGCTGATGTATTGTCATTGGAGCACGCTCCACCAGGGTGCGTATCTTGATCTGCTTGCTGTACGATCGCTTACACTATCAGGCCATGCTATGATGGACTCAAGAACAATGTGGCCACATCGCTGATGCGGGTTAAACTCAATGCCTGGCCAGAAGGAACGCCAGAGTTCGTCAGCCATACCGTGATGAAGGAGTACATCCAGGACACATCGAAGAAGGCTGGTGCTGAAAGCGTTACGTTATACGGCGCTCGAGTGACCAGGCTGCGCAAGGTGGATCGTAAGTGGGACGTTACGTGGTCGACATTGAAGGAAACCACGCAATCAGGAACGTTGGAGGAACAGGAGGAGACTGCTGTGAGTTATACCATTCCAGGAGGAAGAAACTACTAATATCCTCCTCAATAGACATTCGATGCGGTAATAGTCGCTTCCGGCCACTATCATGCGCCTCGCGTTCCAGATACTCCTGGATTGTCCAAGGCGAAAGCACAGTGGCCGTCGCGCATAACTCACTCGAAGGGGTACAGAAACCCGAACCCTTACGCGGGCAAGGTATGACACTTTCCTTACGCTCAATTTCTAGGATAATAATAACTAGTAATCATGTTAAGAATGTCTTGCTTATTGGAGGCGGAGTGTCCTCTACGGATCTTGCTCGAGAAATCGGTCCATTGGCCAAAAAAGTCTACCAAAGCACACGGAACGGTGAATTCGATATCTCTTCCAGTGTGCTTCCGGAAAATGGCACAAGAGTCAGCGAGATAGAACGATTCGAGATCGAGGCAAAGACTGCTGCAGATGACCAGGCTTTGCCGATCAAGGTACACCTGAAGTCAGGACAGACGCTCTGTGGAATCGATGCGATCATCATCTGTACCGGATACCATATCACGTTGCCTTTTCTGTCGGAATATCACGACGATGCGACACCAGCGGAGAAAGCGAGTGATACAGTCTTAGTGACTGACGGGACGCAGGTGCATAACCTGCACAAAGACATCTTCTATATCCCAGATCCAACTCTGGCATTTGTGGGAGTCCCTTACTACACAGCGACGTTTACGCTGTTCGAATTCCAAGCGATAGCTGTAGCGAACGTTTTCGCCGGAATTGCAGAGCTACCAGCGGAGAGCGAAATGAAAGACGAATACGTCCGTAGAGTTAAGGAGAAGGGCAGTGGCAAGCGCTTCCACTCGTTGAAGGACATTGAAGAATTTTACGTGATTGACCTGCTGGAGTGGATTAACGGATACAGAGCCAAGTATGGACTCACTGCGATCGAAGCTCATTCCGACAATTGGCATCTGGCAAAAGCCGCGCAGAGGGAGAGAACCAGTAAGCTGCTAGGGCTTGGCCAGAGACGAGACAGCGGCATCGGGGAGCTTCCGGTGTTGGAGGTATGCAGCTAGACAAGCTATAGAACAGTTCGCATTTTAGTGTAGATGGCACAATTAGACGCAGATACTGCTATTACTTTAGAGCACCAAATACAAGCTTATCAGGCGAGATCGGCATGTCCATGAGGGCTGTAGACTTTTTAACCGGCCGGCATCGCACGCCTATGCACAGGGCACATCATCCGAGATCTGGATGACGAGCTCCGGAGGATGGATGAGCAACCACTCGTCCTTCGCGGACCTGACATGCTTTACCATCCCCGCACATCGGCAGACACGCTCGTTATCTTTCTTCCTCATCATTACATCTGACAGGATAAACCTTCGCAGATATTGCGTGAATGTGGTGGATGATGATGCATTGGTCTGTGCGGTCCTGCGCCCATCAGATATGGCATCCAGACCATCTCACCAAGCCTTGCTATCAAGCTTAAAACAGGGATAAATATGTGTGACTATCATGTGAAACAATATGCAGTGCAGCGGACTGTCAAAAATTCCCTGTACTCTCTGTGTCCCCCCGCCTCCTTCTGCCGGTCTTCGTGAACCCAGGACAAGACAGGAATTATCATGGCTCCATCGCCAGCTACGATTGAAGAAAGGGCTGTTGACACATCCAGTGGCATTGTCCAAGCAAACCCTAAGCGAAGATGGGTTAGCTACATCTGGGATACTTTCGACAAGTCTCCTGAGGAGCGCAGACTGCTCTTTAAGCTGGATTCAGCTATCTTGACTTTTGCGTCGCTTGGTAGGTGGCAGTCTCTTGACGTCTGCAATATGTAGGAAATGCGCTAATATTGTGGAAAAGGTTACTTTATCAAGTATCTCGACCAAATCAACATCAACAATGCCTTCGTTTCCGGAATGTTCGTATCACACAACTCAACCACAGGATCATGGTCAACCCCCACTGACAAAATTACAGGAAGGAAGACCTTGGTCTATACGGCAACCAGCTCAACTACATGCAAGCATGTTGGACAGTGGGCTATGTAATTGGTGAAATTCCAAGTAACATGCTTTTGACACGCATACGGCCTAGATATTGGATTCCGGCGATGGAGGTATGGTTGTCCATTAACACAAGGGAAATATGCTGACAATGTCTAGTTGCTATGGACCGTACTTACGTTTGCTCTGTCGCGGAGTACCAATGCGACGCATTTTTATGTTTTGCGCTTCTTCATCGGTAAGAGATCTCCCTCACTGGCCTGTCTTTGACTAACGCAATCAGGCCTTGCCGAGAGTAGTTTCTACCCCGGAATGCAGTACATCATCGGATCATGGTATCGCAAAGACGAGCTCGCAAAGCGATCATGTATCTTCCACACCAGCAGTGGAATTGCGAGTATGTTCTCTGGGTACCTAATGGACGCGGTGTTTCATCTCGGCGGACGGGGAGGGTTGAAAGGCTGGCAATGGTATGTTCAATTCGCTCCGACTAGTCTCAATTAACTAACAAGACAGGCTCTTTTTGATCGACGGAATCATCTCAATCCCAGTAGCCATCAGCGGCTTCTTCATCTTGCCGGACGTCCCCGAAATCTCAAGTCCATTTTATCTGAGCGAGCAGGAAGTCAAGCTAGCGCAGAAACGGATGCAATTCGAAGGACGAAAGGACAGAGAACCGTACACAAAATCCAAACTGAAAAAGATCTTTTCGTCGTGGCATATCTACTTGCTCACGATCGTATACATGTGCGATAGCAACCACTTTCCCCGTTGCGATTATAAGCTGATGATAGCCTAGAACTTTTAACAATGGAGCAGCAGGCAGTCAGCCCGTCTTTCAACAGTGCGTCACTCCTCTAAGTTCCCTGGACTATAACTAAAGCTATCTTCGCAGATATCTCAAAGACTCCACCAACCCTGTATACTCCGTCGGCCAAATCAACGCCTACCCGACCACCACAAACGCTGTGCAGGTTGTCACGACCCTCATCTACGCATGTACGCACCATGCCTTCCCCCCTTGGCACAACCCACCCCAAGCACCACTAATATGACCTCTCCAGGGACATCCGACACAATTCTCCAAGGCCGACGCTGGCCCTGCATAATCATCGGAGCTGTACGCCCTCCCCCTCCCCCCAACCCACTGTCCCTCACACCCAGTTCACCACTAACACGAAAACCAAAAACCCAGTGCATAAACATAATCTGCTACGTCTCCCTAGCAGTGTGGAACATCCCCACAGGCTGGAAATGGACCTGCTACATCCTCTCCGGCGCAGGCTACGGCCTGAGCGGACTATGCATGGCGTACGCTACACCCATCCCATCCCTATTCCTATAATCACCCTCACCTTAAGCCCCCCATTAACCCGACAAAATGTATATAAAGTTGGGCCCACGAAATCTGCACCGACGACAACGAAGAGCGCGCGCTCGTAGTCGGCAGCATGAACGAAATGGCATACGTATTTCAAGCGTGGTTACCACTGGTGGTGTGGCAGCAGGTGGATGCCCCACAGTACCGGAAGGGGTTTATTACGGTGACGATTATGTCTGTTATTTTGATTATTTCGACGGTGGTGACGTGGAGGTTGCAGGTTTGGGAGGGGAAGAGGTATGTTATTACTACTATTTATTATTTTGTTTTGCTGGGGGGAGTTGTGGGGTTGGATGGTTTGCTAATGGGTGGTGGCTTTTGTAGGCCGAAAGTGGTTCAGGCTGAGGGGGTGGATGGTGGTGGGAGAAGTGAGAGTGAGGGGGATGATTCTAGTCGTGATGATGGGCGTGTGGAAGGGGTAGATGGGGGGCAGGTGCGGAAGGTTTAGTACTATTTCACTTTAGTAAGTATTGAAGTTGGGGTTACTACTAACTAGTAGTACTAAAAGGGAGTACTATGTATCTCTCGGGATAGAGGCAGGGTACGTGAGTTCTAGAACTGTGTTGCGAGGTTCAGTCAACACACTGCAGCACTACTTCTTCTACTGAACGTTAAAAAGCAAATTGAATTGGATTTTTATTGACGAGTATATACAGCCTTTTTTCACTAGTGATTGTTGATGGTTAGGATGTATTTCATCTCTACACAATTCATTTTGTAGTGTCGATGCCTGGCTATGTACTATCTGGTAATAACATGAGAGTGTCATCATCGCTCGTGTCGCCAGGATTGAGAACTCCATATTTAAGTAGGGCTTATAAACAAGGACGTATTCATATTGTGTCGAGGGAGAGAAATCGACCAAATGCACAGAATGTAGAGAAATCGAGATTGGTAGCGCTACGTTACTACGAACTACATAATCAGAGAACGGTTCAGCCAAATTCTGTCTTTTACCAGATCTGGTCAAACGAATGACTGGTTATTGAGTGATTAATGTACACAAACGTCCAATCCATCACACCTTGATCCACAGTTATTGTTCTATCCACGCCATCACGATGGCATTGTCGATGTCCTTGATGGAATTATTGCATCAGCGTCAGATGATTCGAAGGTGTCGACTGTCGATCGAAGCCCAAGGCTTACGCATGGACTTAGTAGGAAGCACCCGAGGGGGCGGCGGCGGGAGCACCCGAGGCAGCGGGAGCACCACCAGCAGCGCCAGAAGGAGAGGGGCCGTTACCACCAGCGACGCCGGAAGGAGCAGCACCGGAAGGGGAGGGACCGTTGCCACCAGCGACGCCGGAAGGAGCAGCACCGGAAGGGGAGGGACCGTTGCCACCAGCGACGCCAGAGGGAGCAGCACCGCCGAAAGAGCCGGAAGGAGAGGGGCCGTTACCGCCAGCAACACCGGAGGGAGCAGCGCCGCCGTTGCCACCGAAAGAGCTGGAGCTGGAGCCCTGCTCAGAGGGGGAGCCCTGCTCGGAAGAGCCCTGAGATCCCTCGGAGTCGAACCCCTGGGAGTCGGATCCCTGAGACTGGGAGCGCTCAGACTGAGAGTCCTGAGACTGAGAGTCCTGGGACTCGCCCTGGGACTGGGAGTCCTGGCCGCCGAAGCCGCTCTGGCCCTGCTGACCCTGCTGGCCACCGAAGGAGCCAGAAGGAGAAGGACCGTTGCCTCCAGCAACACCGGAGGGAGCGGCACCACCGAAGGAACCAGAGGGAGAGGGGCCGTTGCCACCAGCGACGCCAGAGGGAGCAGCACCACCGAAAGAACCGGAAGGAGCAGCGCCATTGCCGCCAGCAACACCGGAGGGAGCGACACCACCGAAGTCACCTCCAGCAGCAGCGGAGCCGGTCGGGGCAGGGACGTTAGAGGCGGAAGCGGGGATCTCGAGCTGGCGTCTCTTGTGGCCGCGAGGAGCTCCGGAAGGAGCGGGGGCGGCGGAGCCAGTGGGAGGAGGCTGAGGAGCATCGCCCAAGCTCACGGTGGGAGCCTGGCCCTGTCCTCCGAAGCCCTGGTCCTGGCCCTGGCCCTGAGGAGCACCCGAGGGAAGGGGAAGGGGAGAACCGGAGGGAGCGGCACCCTGGAAGGAGGGAGCTCCGCTGGCCTGAACACCATTGGGAGCAGAGTCTTGCTGGGCGCCCATGGCCGGCAGGGCGGCAGCGTAACCGATAAGACCAGCGAAAGCGATTCCGGTGAACTTCATCTTGAAAGAATAGAGAGTGATGGACTTGTAGTAGTAAGTGAGAAAAAAAGAAGGCGAAATGAAAGTACGAAGCACAGCTTCTTAAGGAATGGTAGTTGAGATCAAAGGAAAGAGAATTTGAGCTGAATGAAGGATGATTCTGGCTGGGAAAAGGGACGCTTTTATACGGCACTCTCGAAGCGCTGAGTCGGCCAAGACCCAGCGATGATCACTTACATCCATCTGCTGCGATGCGTGAGAGGAACCAAGCATTCGTCATGCACTGTTGTCACCGAGTTCGGCCCGCCTGAATCTGAGACGTCGACTGTTAGCAATAGATCAGGTTATGCTGGAGATGCAAGAACCGCATAGATCGCCAGACCTGGCGCTTGTGGGGGTGGGAGAGTGGCTCAGGGGCAGGGCTGATGTAAAATAGGGTTTGGACGTACCTGCTGGGCTCCTGTGGGTCGGCTAAGCATGAAGCCGGTAGTTGGATCTGTGAGAGGTGAGGATGTAGTAGAAGATGCTATTGATGGAGAGGGAGAAAGGGCAAGAGGGAAGTCACTCTGGCTGGCTGTCGCTGTGGCGGCGGCCCCACGTGCGCGGCTCGCCCTGAAGGCCGTCACGGGCCAGCCGACCCTCCAGCGTTTCATCTCTTCATCGCCTATTCAGAATGGCTGACTCGTCCCTCTCTCTCTCTCCCTGCTTGGCCCCTCTGCCGCTTGGAGGTGGCTTGATCCTGGCTGCGGCGGTTGATCTATTTGCGGTTCCGTTATGATTCCATGGTAATGCTTTATCTGGTTGCCTTTCTCCGCATCATACACCCACCATATGCAGTCCACACATACGGAAAGCCTCAAAAAGTGCCTCAGATCGTCGGTGGATGAGTGCGACTGGTTGTTAGCCTCAGTCCAATGACAGCCAACATGCAACGGAGCTGACGTCCTCGATCAAGCTGTCCCCTGCCGCTGTGGCTGTTCCAAATTAGTGGGTCAGCTCAGTCTCGACTCTCGACACTGACAGTCGACAGGTCGTAGTGCCAACTAAGCGGAAAGCTAGTCCGCTCTGGTGTGTTCGTGGGGGCCCAACGATGGCGGGTCCTTGACTCTACGTTATTTGGGTGGGTCCATCTCGAAGAACAGCAGCAGCTGTGGTCAGTGTCTCTATGTGCAGCAAAATCTTCTTCCGCTTACTGATCATCGTGCAAGCTCTGGCCACGACGATGTGATAATCACTGTGGGGGATAGTCATACCTATACCCTCACTTCCTATGCATCAAAAAAAGTTCGTTGTTGTTATGGAGTGTTACATAATACCCCTCGCTGGGAAAATTGTATTTGAACTCAGAACAGAGCTTTCCCCTTCAAAGTTGGGGAGCCCACGATGTGGACCCATTGGATAGGGAAAGTAACAGCGATGGGACCCTGAGGGACCCTAGAGTCTCCAGAGAAGGGTGGAAGTCTTCTCTGGCATCTGTACCGGAAGTCTGTTAGGCTATCCCTGGTTTCCTGCATGGCAGGGTTGGAAGTGATGGAATGGCCAAGATGACGACAAATGGGGTCTGGACCAGTCGTCACCCTACCTAGCGAGCCACTATGAATGAAACGGACGGCTGTCTGGTTGTGGCATCTGTTCGTTTCAAGGCTTGGATTTGATAGCGCGTTGGAGCAGCTGGCGTGGCCCTATGCAGATCCCATGGGCTGCGGAAGCTGATTGGCCACCTGCCTGCACGGCCCATTTATCCGATCGGGATGTTTCACTTTATCTTCGCAACCCTCGCAGTCGCCTCCTCACTGGCGGTCCACCTACTCCTACGTCGCTACCGGTTTCTGCGCGATCGGCAGGCTTGACGAAATCAGATAACTGACTCTTGACTCTCAATATTGGGCCTTACCAGTATGGCTCCCACTGTTCCAGTGGACTGTTGCTCATTTGACCTCCGGGGCAAACGATTGGGAGCGAGTCGGGCGTCCCGCAGCGGCCTCGTGGACTTCCCATGATTGCGAGTCAAAGGGGCCAAAATGAGAAGGATGCGATACGATCGCAATGGGTATAACCCAGGAAATCATGTTATTTTCATTAGGTTTAGAAACCAGTCAACGCCCATAGTGTCTCTATTTCTGTCACCCTCGAGACCCTAGGTGCGGGCCCTTTTCCACCCTTCAACTGTTTTGTGTCGGATCCGGCTTTTCCGGGCTTCTCCTTTTCCTGTCAATTGGTCCGTGCATCTGTCAATAGGAAGTGCCATCATCGCAAGAAGGCTGGGGAATGGTGTCCCTTAGCAGCACAATCGATCATACCAGACTCTAATACGGCTTGGCCTGCCAGGTGACGCGGCCACCATAGTGTCCGCCCCTGAGGCTAAATCCCGCACGCAGCGCAAAACGAGAATGACACACACCGACGGATATTTTCTTTACCCATCAAAAGCATCTAGGAGTCAGTCTGTATAGGCTCGGCACGCCTATGCCAGTGACATGGTATGCGGTAGTGTACGTTTCTCCTTTTTGCCAAGCAGGCAAAGGAGAATAGAGGACTGGAACAATTCTTGTATGTGATAGCCCTGCATATGTGTCGCAACATGCAGGTGTGCCGGGATTCGGTCCTCATAGGCCACTTTTACCGCGACGGAAATTTCATCATCAAGGCCGGGAATTGCTTTCCGTCGTCCATTCTACGAGGGTCGCTTGGCAAGAGGGTCCAGGTTGTGCGCCAACCGAAAGCAATATGTCCCTGGAATGAGTCAGGGTCCATTGCAGACGCGTAAGTCTAATTGTAGTTTTGCAACTCTTGCCCTTTCATTCCTGCATTCTGTGTGTTCATACGCCCAAGCGTACCAACCAGCACAAATTTGTCTATCTCCTGGTCGTTTCGACTCGCGTTATTGCATGGGCAATTGTTAGGGTGAGATTCACCTATGATGAAGTCAAAAAAATTTGTCTCCTCATGCTCTTTCTTTGCCTTGGAGCCGCATCATCTTCTTTAGGACTACTTCGTACTTGGCACGGCTCTCTGTTCCTCTGCAAAGTCAGATTGTAGCACCAAACAGATCCGTTTGCATGAGCTTGAGCATGCTATCTTTCTGAGAGCCCGACACTCGACTGCAACGAGGACCAATCCTCGAACGTGGCGTAAGCTGCAGAGTACAGAGTACAGGGAAGACATTCGATGGTAAGTGAGCAACCAACTGACTCCAATCCACAATCACAACCAGTGGCATAGAAGTATCTGTTTCCTGCAACAGGCTGATCTGATATATTGTGAAATCCAGATAGGTTCTGATGTCCCAAATCCGTACCCTTGACAATCGAATTAGGTCTGCTCCAGTTGGTCCATAGTCAGCATGCCACACATGAGTGAGATTGCAAGAGACCACGGTGGCATTTTGCGCTCCAACTTCCAGTTACGATACCGACGGGGAATTGTGTTGCACACAAAATTGAACTGCTGACAAGCCTTTACTTTCCGCCTGTTTAGTAGACCATCAGCGGCTCAGAAAGACTACTGAATCATGGGTCTTATTGTGATGGTAGACCCAAGTCCCAACTTGTTCAGTGGTACCGATCTTGACTCCACCACTCCCAGGGACAGCAGGTACGTTGCTGACAGAGAGATCCAAACATCGTATCTGATTGATGGGAAACGATCCCTTTGAGGAGAGGTAGGACCCCGATGCGATGAATTGAATCTAGACGTGGAACAACAGATCAACACCCGGGTCTAGATTGCGGAGAAGGCCCTTCTTGTTATGAGCAGCATCCATCCCTCGATTCAGCAATAACCAGGATATGAATTGGCAGTGGTGAGTGTAGGGATGACATAAGGATAGTGTGGCTGTTGAAGCGGGAAGTCCTGTGACAGGCAGTCACACCATTGGCGGGCTCAGTTTCCCGCCACTCTCTTTCTAAGTTGGGTTGCTTTCTGCTGCCAGGTTTTCAAAAGTCTCACGCTGATAGCCGAGAGCTTCAAGGGAAGTTTTTTGGTTTCTTTTCACCTTCCCCTAACCACTCACTCGGTGTGATTCTGAATACATCGGGTTCACGATATCAGTGCATCATCAGTGTGAAAAGGTGATGTTACCCTCTAAGGAGTCTAGAATATCTCAGAAAGAGTTCCGGCAAATCCCACAAACCCCTGAAGAGCTTGTCCGAAGCACTGCCGCTGTGGTCTGCTGCTTAATATAGACAGCGGCAGCTATCACAGACAATATTTCACGGTGTCATTTTGAAGTATTGGACTCACGACTCAACAAGGGCGGACAGAGAAAAAGTGTGACCTGAAAACGGAAAGATGCCACTCACGCCTACTGAGGGGTTATTACTCTGGCCATCGTCAGTCATTAGAGCCACAAGCACCAGTAGTTCACACTGGGTCATGATACTGTATTGCCAGTGCGCGTGTAGAGAACGCGTAGGGAGCGCGCATTCACTATATCAACCCCCATGTATCTCGCTTAGCATGTCCACTGGCTCGCTAAGTGTTGGAACTAACTCGCGTCTGTTGTCATCGTATCTCTCATCTCCTTTCCATCACCTTCTTCTTCTTCATCAACACATCTTCTACAAGCATCTCTTTCAAACTACTTCGTTTACAAGGATACGCTGAGTTCGAACATCTGTTCATCAAATTGCGCTTCCGTATCAACAGTGCTAGTAACAACGCTTCAGGTGCTACAAGAGACTCATCTAGTCAAGATGGCAGACACTCCAATGAACCTATCACCTGACAACAGCAGCCTCATAGCCCATACTGAGGATATGCTGTCCGCACTGCTGAAGGTCGAGCAAGCAATCGATGAAGCTGGCGCAGGTAAAAATAAACAACAAGATTTCACGAAATATGTATTGGGTGCGACCTCAAAGCTGGGATTCATTATCATGGCCGGCAAGGTCGTCAGCGTCAACGGTCACCGGCTGGATATGGCCGAAGTGGTGGCTGTTGCCAAGTACGTTGTTAGCTTTCATGGACTCCCCGGGACGCACTCAACTAATTTATCTTACCTTAGACATGGGGTGACGCCTGTCGTTTGCGATAATGGCACCGTTCGCCCCAAGATGCAGTCCAGTGTGGAATTCCTCCAGAAGCACCTCAAGGAGGGTAATACCGTCTATGGCGTGAACACTGGCTTCGGAGGAAGTGCTGGCACGCGTTCCGACAACTATCGTGCTCTGCAAAAGGCACTAGTTCAGCACCACAATGCCGGTGTGCTTCTCCCTGCTGAGCAGGGGCTCTAAAGCACCCCAATCCAAGATCGCATGAAGAAACACTCGATGCCCGCTTCATATGTCAAGGCAGCCATGCTGGTCCGATGCAACAGTCTAATCAATGGGCATTCGGCAGTGCGACCAGTGGCCATTCGTCACATTCTCAAGTTGGCCGCTGCTGACTTCACACCTGTTGTTCCGTTGCGCGGCTCCATTTCAGCTTCCGGTGACCTAACCCCTCTCGCGTACATCGCTGGGGCAATTGAAGGGAATCCCGACATCTTTGTGGACCTTGGACCGAAGCACAGCAATGTGATCCTCCCTTCAGACGAAGCCCTCGCAAAGCTAAGCCTGAAGCCTATTTCGTTCTTTCCAAAAGAAGGTCTCGGACTACTCAATGGAACTGCTTTCAGCGCGGGAGCCGCTAGTCTTGTGCTCTTCGAAGCCAACCAACTGGCCTTATTCGCTCAAGTCGCAACCGCCATGTGCACGGAGGCGTTGATCGGGAGCCGTCGTAACTTCCATCCATTCATCAGCAACAGTCGTCCACACCCTGGACAGAAGGAAGTAGCACGCAATCTGTACGGCCTCCTCAAGGACTCCAAACTAGCCACTGATTCAAAACCCGAAGAGGTTGGTCTCGCTCAAGATCGCTACGCAATCCGCACCACTCCGCAGTGGATAGGTCCACAGGTCGAATCCTTAATTCTCGCAACACGCCAAGTGGAATGCGAATTGAACTCGACCACCGACAATCCTTTGATAGATACTGCTAATGGCGAGGTGCATCACGGAGGCAACTATCAGGCAGTTTCAATCACGTCTGCAATGGAGAAAGTCATGACATGTATGCAAATGCTCGGGAAGATGATCTTCGCTCAATGCTCCGAACTGCTTAACCCAATGTTCAGCAAGGGTCTGCCTCCCAACCTCTGTTCCGACGATCCCAACTTGTCTTTTGCGTTCAAGGGTATCGATATCAACATGGCATCGTACATGAGCGAACTGGGATACCTGGCTCACCCCGTCAGCAATTTCGTCCAATCCGCAGAAATGCATAACCAATCTCTCAACTCACTGGCTCTCCTCACGGCCCGCTACGCAGGTGACACCGTCGAGATTCTCTCGCTAATGATGGCAACACACATCTATGTGCTGTGCCAGGCTCTCGACCTACGCACACTCCAGCTCGAGTTCGAGAAATCCGCAAATCCTTCCGTGGACGAAACAACAACAGCCATGTGCAAAGACGTGGTTCCCGAAGAGCGCATCCCCCACATCAAAGACGAGATCTGGAAAGTCCTAATGCAACACTGGGGAAAGAACTCCAACCTCGGCCTCGCCAGTCGCGCAGCAACCTCGACAACCCTGGCACTCGGCACCGTCCTGGATCTGATCACGGTTGAGTGTGACGAAAGCAAGGCTGCGGAGATTCCTGGCAAGATGCTGCTTTGGCAGGAAGACGTCAAGTCTAGGTTGTGCGACGAGTATGAGATGACGCGTGAGAAATATTTCCTCGACCCATCGACGCCCGACTATCTCTGCACCTCCTCCATCAAACTGTACAATTATGTACGCAAGACTCTCGAGGTCCCAATGCACAAGGGAGTCGTCGATCATCCAACTTTCTCACCTCCTCATGCGATTCCTAGCGAGAAACAGACGATTGGTACGCTCATCAGCACGATCTATGTTGATCTTCGCGAAGGGGACCTCATGCACACCCTAAAGGGCTGCTTTGAGGTCCCCGGGAATGACTTTCTGGGAAAGAACGATGAAGAGTGAGGATGATATGCAAGATCCAGATACAAGGGTTAGTTGAAGGGGGGTATGAACGGTGAAAAGATCAGTGTGTTTTCCCTCTCGCTAAAAGAAAAACACACAGTGCGGAAAAAACTCCCTTCATTCACTTACTTACTTACTGTGTCGCATTTTTTGCCGAGTGCATAGGTGGCATCGGGTAGCGGAATGCCGGCCGGCGTTGTCATTCTCATTTTATGTTTTTTCCATTGTATCTTCCTGGAGTGAAGCGACAGGCGATTATCTGGATTTAGTGCTGGTCCCCTTAGTCCCCAGCTACAGGCGTTGGTTTTGATGTCTTGCAATGTGAGATGCTGGTATATCTGGATCCCAGCTACAGGTGCGGCGCTTATGTTAATTTCTTGCGATCTTTGACGCTGGTATTTCCCTGGATCATAAGCACAGGCGTTTTATCTCGATGTCTTGCAAGTGTTTCATGCTGGATCTCTCATTGCTGAATCTTTTGTATATTTTAGACAACTTCCTCAAAATGGAAGCAAAATAACTCCACTAGATAGCAATGTACTTGAAATAAGAAACTGATGGCAAGAATAGAGGATAGTGGCAGCACCAGGCTACTAGACTTTCCCACTCTGTTGTTCAATAAGCATCCTTTACCCACTCAAACTAAAACTACTAGACTACTTATTCCCGATTCTCACAAGTGATAGTTTCCACCGAATAATCATTATCCTATCGTTTGTTCATCATTTCCATCCTCATTACGTTTATACTAATCCACGCAATTATGAATTATATGATGGTGTGAATGTACAAACAGTCAAAGACCCGCACAGCCCTGGTCTCAATTACCCGTGATTTAGCATAGCCTCAGAAGCTAACCAGTTAACTAATAAAATAAATACTAGTTAACGTAGTACGTGGGTGTTGTTATTCATCAATACCCACCATCACGTAGAAAAATAAGCCTCGAAGTTAAGCGAGCGGGCGAATGAAAGCGGCCATCTGTCGCTATGTGCTCCACTTCCTGTGCGGGTACAATACTGCAATTAGTGGGGAGGATCGTCGGTGGAGGTGGATTTGAAATTATAAGCGGGTGGCTATGTTCCGCTACTTAGATCGGTGTGATGGGAAGTAGTATTAGAAAATGGTCACATTGATATCTATGGTAATCTTTTTTTTTTTTTTTTTTTTTTTTTTTTTTTTTTTTTTTTTTTTACTTTTTCGTTTCTTTAGGGCTTTAGTTGAGCCTCTTTAGAGAAAATAAAGGAGAGTAGAATGTGGAGAAAACCAGAAAAAAAAGAAAGGAAGGGAGGAAGAGAAAAGAGAAATTAGAAATTAGACAGGAAAAGAAATTTAAAGAAAAGCGTGAGAGACAGATCGATTCCTGCTAACTACCATAACTATCAAACTACTAAGCAACATCCATTACTTCTCCCCACCGAACCAAGCCTCATAATTTCCAAAATCATTCAGCTTATACCGATCCAAACAGAGATGATAGAGAGCATACCCCTGAATAAACTCATTAACCCGTTTCAAGAGTTTAACATCACCCTGACACGCTCCACGCAGCCTCTGAATACAATCCAAACACTGGGCAGCTCTGATCTCGATAGCCTCATACTCCGAAACACCCAGACAAACACAAGTCTGTCTAACCAACGTACCAGCCTCATTTCCCAAGACAGACTCCTTGTAGAAAGAAACCACATCATTCAATCGATCCACAATAGCAGCCATATCTGGAATCAGAGGGAAGTACGACGCTACATTCCAGGACCCAGGGAAATTGAGAAACGCGTAAGCCTCTCCAATGGCGCTTTTCTGTCGAAGGAAATCAGGAAACATCGAGGTTGATGAAGAGAGCATGAAATCATCCTTTCGTTCTTTTTGTTCTTCTTCGAGGATATTGATACTAACGTAATCCAAGACGGATTTCATGATCATGTCGCCGGCGAAAGTGTCATAGTATTTGGATAGATCTTCGAGAGATGTGTACAGGCCGTTGAGGAATTTCAAGTCAGTAGACTGGCCGAAGAAGACCGATCTGTAACTTTTCATCTGATCGCGGAATGATGCATCCGTGCAGATGTTATCGAGGGAGAAGATGTACGCTGTCCATACTGCTATGGATAGCCTGAGTGGATCTTTGAGACTGGGATAGAAACATTCTGCTACGACTGCTCCTGCTTCAGAGGAGGCGCGTACCACATCCTCTGGCAGTCCGGAGAGTGTGAATTGATCGAGGACTTCTTGATGGAAGGCTTCGTCTTTGTGATAAGGAGGTAGATCTAGGAAAACCTCTTCTAAGAAGGGAGAAATGATCTTGAAGAAGTCATCGGGGGTCACGGTTGTCATGGTTATGGAGATCAGGATGTTTGTGTTGTCTTTGAGGTGGTTTCACGTGCAATTTTAGGGGGTATTTATGTCACTAGTACACTGCCATAAATCTCCGTCTGCTATACATGGATAGGAGTTCTACCATTTCAATCCATTACTAGATCTACTTCATTGTACAATCTGTAAGAACGGCCCGCCATTCTTGAGTAACATGTCTCCTCAGCGGATGTTGTTTCCAGCCTTATGTACTAATTTGATTGGCGTTGAAGTGGCACGTGAAAGGTCACTAGGTATGGTGCGACATTGGCATGAGCTATGGGTAAGGTCTTAGCGGGGGAGAACCGGTGAGGGTGTTCATGTTGTGTTAAGGGGGCATGAAAGAATGAGGCCTTATCTGCCGGGACACTTTGTACAGCTCTAGTTACGGATTGATCAGTGGGTGATACATGCAGTAGGCATGGAAGAATCGGCCAAGCCTATCTCCAGTGATGGTATGATTTTTGCGGAGGTAGACAAGAACTTGCTTATTTCTATATCTCTTCTATCGAGAATTCGCTGTCTCTGGCATTACTCATGAATGGTATTTATATTGCACTATCGACAGAAAGACACAACAGAAAAGCTATACTTGAAAGATACTAGTTCTGTTTTGCCATTTTCTTCACCAAAGCTAATGAAAGCTTGGCTACATGTGAAAAAAAGGTCTAGAAACGTCACATGAAGCACATGCAGAATCCACACTGACAGCCAATGCCACACTGGGCATAGCGCATGAGACTTCGTTCCGAAATGAAGCAAGGGGAGGGAACACAAGTGCCTACTAGCCATGTATGGCAGGATGCAGGGCCCATCGTATGACAAGGCTGCATCATGCCAAATTTACTGAGCTCCACCAGGAGATCAGTGTCAAGACTTCTATGACGTCCCCGATGTGGTGTTGCAGACCAATTAGTACATTACCTACAAAGCCACTGAACATGAGATGGGAGTGGGTGAGTCAGATAGAGAGATTGGACATAGTGATCACATCATTGCTAGAGGTTTCGTATGGGGTTTGAATGACCGCTGCCATGATATCTTGAGTTGTACAAGGCCAGAGACTTACTCTGACAATATCCCTACTGCTCCCTTTTAGCAACACAAATTAGGGTGGGAATTTTAGTTCCGAATAATCTACCAAGGGAAATCTACAATGCTCTCCAATACAGCATAGCTCAATTTCCATCAGTGGCTTAGCAAGCTAAACAACTAAACAAATCTGTTTGTTCACCTCGAATAGCTTGTACATCAGATAAAAGGGCCTTGATCACAATGCTTGCTGATCTGCAAAGTACACACTATCCGAATCGGGGACCCAGAGTCTCAAAGCCATCTATATTCGAATCTGCTTCATGAGTATGTCACTCGAAAGCTACCTATTTTTCCACTGACGTCACTCCCCAGACAGATCTCAAACTACTACTCTAAGGGAGAAGGATTAAACAGGTAACTCTGACGAGACTGGAAAACACGTGTATAGGTCCCATCTGAATAGCCATGGCTGTGTTTTTCGACTCTTCGCAATAGATTAAACCCGAACAGGCAATTGAGTTGTTCGGGAACAGAAAATGCGGGGAGGCTATCCCTGTTGCAGGGATAATCATCTCAGCACTAGGCCGGTAGAGGTTTAGTCGCCCAAGGTGGATGCCTCAGCCCCAGTCTCTGTGGAACGCGTCAAGATTCATGACAACACCTTAAGCCTGAACAGGAAATAAATTTGCGACCGCAGGAACTTCAACAAGGCTGACTATTTGGGGGCCGAACTCAGCCTCAACATGAAAAATTAACTCCGATTGTTTTGATTTGACACTGGGAGATTGCGGTCTGCGTGAGATGAACTTATAAAGAACTTTGGGGTACCTGCTCTCAACATGTCTGGGACCTGCAAGCTTCTCTCAATCGCCTTCTATATTCCTTGAAATCCTCTCATCAGACATCATGACGAGGCAGTCTTCTCTCGTTCCCACGCTACTTTCGCTAGCATCGCTAGCAGCTCTCTCACAAGCAGAGTTGGGCAAGATCCAATGGAGAGGATCTTGCAACTTAACCAGTTATCCGACATTGGTCTGCGGAACACTAGACGTCCCATTGGACTACACCGAGTCGAATTCCAGCAAGACCCTGACTCTCGACATTGCCAAGTGGCCAGCAACCAAGAAACCGGTTTCGGAGCCTATCATTTTCAACTTTGGAGGACCTGGTGTGAATTCGTTTGAGGGCCTCGGACTTTATGGAGAGGAGTTTCAGGCGTAAGTTGCTGTCTAGCTTTATCGCATCTTATGCTGACTGACATTCGTTCTCTAGAATCCTCGGCGGCCACAACGATTTGATCGCCTTTAACAATCGGTTCGTGACCAGTCTTTCCTCAAATTGCGAACAAATAATAACTTATTACCTTATCTAGTGGCGTTGGAGACACCATCCCATTTTCGTGCTATAGCGATGACGCCACCCGTGAACTCATCGCCCTCCAAGCCCCTAACGACGGCAGAGCATCCAGTACAGCTTTGGGAGAAATCTGGGCGCAGAACGCAAACATCGCACAGGCATGCTATGCTACGAACAATCAGACCGGTAGCCTTATCGGAACTAGCTTTGCTGCCAGGGACATCGTGGAGGTCGCTGATGCGCTCACTGGGAAG